CTCTACAGTCTGTACTCTTTTTTTTTTTTTTTTTTTGAGATGGAGTCTTGCTCTTGTCACCCAGGCTGGAGTACAGTGGCGCAATCTCAGCTCACTACAACCTCCACCTCCTGGGTTCAAGCAATTCTCCTGCCTCAGCCTCCAAAGTAGATAGGATTACAGACATGCACTGCCATGCCCAGCTAATTTTTCTATTTTTAGTAGAGATGGAGTTTCACCATGTTGGCCAGGCTGGTCTCAAACTCCTGACCTCAGGTGATCCGCTGGGATTATAGGCATGAGCCACTGTGCCCCACCTATATTCTGTTTTTCTTTTGTTGTTGTTTTGTTTTGTTTTGAAATAGGGTTTCACTCTGTTGCCCAGCCTGGAGTGCAGTGGCTTGATCTCAACTTACTGCAGCCTTGACCTCCATGGGCTCAAGTGATCCTTCCATCTCAGCCTCCTGAGTAGCTGGGACTACCCATCACACCTGGCTAATTTTTTTTGTATTTTGCAGAGACAGGCTAGTCTTGAACTCCTAGGCTCAAGTGATCCGCCCATCTCAGCCTCCCACAGTGCTGGAGTTACAGGCATGAGTCACCACACTCAGCCTACAGTCTATCTTCTTAAACTCCTAAGTTATAGAAACAAAATAGGTATAAGATGTTTGGGAGACTGAAAAAGTACTGATTTAAGGCCCAAAAGTTATTAAAGTTATTTGGTATTAAAGTTCTTAAGTACCAAATTAAGAGTCTAGATTTATTCTAGAGACAATAAAACCATTAGAGATTCTTGATCAGGGATGTATCATGATCAGAGATATCCTTTTAGGGAAAATGCTTTGGCAGCCTTCAGGCAGATAGACTAGAATGGAGAGAAATAAATGAAAGACACCAGTTAAGTTATAGCAATTGTGCAGGTGAGGGGGTAGAGGTGATGATGATGGTGATGGGAAGGTCCCAACAGATGGATACATCTCTGGAGAGAAAAGAATGGAAAGAATTTTATGGCTGATTTCAAGTTTTGGAAAGGAAGTTAAAGAAGGGAGAGATGATTCAAAGTCTCCCCTCTTGGCTGACTGAGAAAATGTTAAACATTAACAAAAAGAAAGAAAAAATGAGTTTTATGGAGGAGTTGAGTTTGGGCATGTGTTTGAGATGCCAGGAGTGCTAAGATAGACATGTCCCACTGGCATTTGAAAGTACAGGTTAGGGGTTCACAGAAGAGTTACTGACTCGATACAACCTTGGGAATCATTCACATAAAGGTGGCATCTGAAATGCAAGGGTGGATGGAAACGATTATCAAGGAAAGCCTTGCCAAGAGAAGAGGACAGGCCTTGGGGTGTTGGAGGAAAAAGCCATGAATGGCATCAGGGGAAAAACAGTTTGTAGAAGAGAAGAGAAGGAGTGCAGGGTCCCACAAACCAAGGAGGAGAGTCTCAAGAAGGATCAACTGTAAATGCAAAAGAAATACCAAGAAGAATGAAGGCTCAAAAAGCCTTATTGATTAGGCAATTATTTGTGAACTCTAAGAGTGCACTTTTAGTAGTGGGTTAAGAGCAAAAGCCAGATTACAATCTAGAAACTGTGAACATGAATTCTTCTGAATTTGTGTGTGAAAAAAGAAAGACAAAATAGTAGCATGAACTGATAACAAAGTGGAGGGAAGATTTGGTTTGTGGGTTTTGAAAAAGAAACAACAGTGGTGGGCATATTAACAATGCAAGAGTAGTATCCTAAAAGGAGAAAGAAGAGGAAAGAAGGGCTGGATTTAAGGACCCTGGTGGCCCAATTCAGCTGGGAAAGAAAAGGAACATTTTTCCTTCTGAGTTAGAAAAAGGAGAAGATATGAACACACTTGAAGTGGAAACAGGGGAAATGTCATTTAAATGTTAAAGTTCAACAAAATATTTCTACTTGGCACCGTGGACATCAATTTTATCTAATCTATTTGCATTTATTTGACTAAAATTATATAAGAAGCATATTACAAGTCTTTTTTGTCTTAGTAGTTGATACTTACATAAAAGGCTATAGAAGATGTTTTCAGGTTTTGATTATATCTGTGTAAAAGTTAAGCAGTTCCTTTTTAACCAGATTTTTTGGTTCTGTGTTTTGGTTGTTTCAAATCATACCAGAATGAAAAAAAGAACATAAGCCGGCGATGTTTATCAAGTAAATGCTTGGTGATGTTGCATGTTACAGCAGGTAGATTCTTTTGGATGGCTTTCATATTTAAAATTATTTGCTAATCAAAAAATGTTGTAGATCTAACCTGTTAGCAATTCTTGATCTTCATGAAACCCTAACAATGTAAGTCATTATCATTCCCAATTATAGAAAGTGGGGTAGGGGGTTATACAAGTATAGGATTCAAAGTAAATAAACTGTATGTCTTGTTATTCCAATGAGGATCGGTCTACATTAAATAACGCATTGCATTCTGACATGTTTATAAGAAGCATTATGCTTGACTCTCTGTGTTACGTTGTTACAGAATTCATCAATAACTTGGCCTAGAACCAAAAAGTTAAAGACTTGCTCAATCCTGTCCATTTTGTATGGCCAGCTACCAGTATTTCTCCTGCAGTCTTTTGAAATCATTCATTTTATTTAACAAGCATTTCTTAAGCTCCTACAGTATGCCAGGCTCCATGTTAGGCACTGAGAATACAATGATGAATGAGACAGTCTCAGATATCTAAGTGAAGAAGAGAGATTATGAGAAAGGAAAACAATTTAAATGCAGGTTAGGAAAAGTATGTGAAGAACATTCAATGACATGTTAGACAGTGACTGGGTGGAAGCCTCAATCAGATTCAGTGGTTGTGTCAGGATCCAGCCATTTTTAAAGAAGCAGAAATCACATTAAGTATTTCAACAGAGAGACTTCAATGCAGGAATATGTTAAATAGGTGTTGGAGGCCTAGAAAAAAAGCACAAAGGAAACACAGATATCAGAGACAACTAGAAGAAGCAACTCCCACAACTAGGGCTGCGGAGTTGGAAGGGATAGGTTAGGGGAATCACAGCCTGGAAGCTCAGAGGTCGGACCCGTTGGAGCCAGGACTCAGCCCTCTAAGGAGAGGGCGCTGCCCAATTGCTGATTCTGAGAATGTCAAAAACAAAAACAAAACAACCAAAATGCAGGCTAGAACCAGTTGCTGTTGCCCAGGTGACACTGAGAGAAACAGCAGGTCAACTAGAGGGAACACAAGTCATTTCTTCCCTCCTATTTCCAGCCTCCTCTGGTCTAATGCAACCTATTATTGAACCTAACAGAAAGCTAGCTGGAGAGAGAAATGTAGTTTGCAGAGCTCCAGCAATTCAATGCAGAGTATGCTGTGGTGCATTTGCAGCTGAGAGACAATCAATGACCAAGTGATTGAGAAACAGCTCTCTAAACAGGTGACATCTGAGCTGGGTTCTGAAAAACGAAAATAAGCCCACATGTGAAGAGCTGGGAGATGAGCTTTTCAGACAGGAAATGGCTTAAAGAATGCAACATCAGGAAGGAGACAGAAGTATGATGAGGGAGTGGTGTAAGTGGTCTGAAATATAGTTGGAAAGAACTGAAACCAGGATGGAGCCAGATCATGCTCACAAATATATAGGCTCTTGAGTTTAATACTAAATATATACACATACCTTATGATACATGTCACATATTCTAAAAGCATTAGGAAGGTACTGAACATTTAAAGAAGAAAGAAATCATTTACTAAACAGTTTAATACGAGGCACCATGCTAACCAAGGTTTCCTGCAAACAAGCACCTCATTCTTTCTGCCTCCTACACCTGTTCCTCTGCCTGTAGTTTGTTTCCAAGTTAATGGCACCGTCGTCATTCACCCAGCTTCCCAAAACTCTGAGTCACCTTTTCCCTCCCCACATCAGTGAGTCACCAAATTCTATGGACTCTACTAATAGTTCCCAAGTTAACCCCCTCCTTTCCATTGACACTGCCACTGCCACTACCATGGCTTTAGTATCTCCAGAATTGCCCTTCCCAAATCTATCCTCCACTCTGCTCTCAGAATAATCAATTCAGAACATAAATCTCTCCATGTAACACTATTTATTAGAACTACTGGAGCAGATGAAGTCTCAGCACCTAGTTATGGCTTTCAAAGCCCTCCACAATCTAGGCCCTTCTTCCATGAACTTCATTTTTTTTCTCCTCTTCAACTTTATGTAACACCAGACCATTTGTAGTTACCCCTCAAAACCCTGTCATTTCATGCCTCTGTGCCTTTGCTCAGGCTGACCAATCTTTCAGGATTTAGCTTGGATATTAGCTCCTCCATGAAACTCTCCCTAAATCCCCCAATTGGACTAAGTGCCCTTCATCTGTGCTCCCAGAATCCCCTGTCACCCCTCCATCTTATCGCTACATAACACTGAAATACTCTGTTTACATGACCCCTTCTCCACTTGATGGTAAACTTCTTGAGTGCAGAGACTGTTCATCTTTGTGGTCCAGCATGGCATGATGCACAGGAAATAGTAAGTACTCATTACTGAGCCGACTGAAAGAATGTACCTTGCATTGCACTCACCAGGGACTGAATGTGGCAGGAAACCTTCATATCCCAAGCTTAGGACATGCAGCTAAGAAGATCCCATGCAGGCGTGAACAGGCAGGCCCATCTCATGAGGGACAAAGAGGGCTAATTGCTCACAGACCTCAATTTGACAAAGTGCCACAAATTCAGACTTACAATCTCCAAATGAAGTTATACATACAGTTTTATATTTTGTGCATCTTTAAAAGCATTTCTTTCTTTCATTAGAGATGGGGTCTCACTGTGTTGCCCAGGTTGATCTCAAAATCATGGGCTCAAGCAATCCTCCTGCCTTGACCTCCCAAAGTGCTGGGATTGCAGGCGTGAGCCACTGTGCCCGGCCTCAGCTCTGTTTCTAAGCAGTTTCCCTCTAAAAATGCTATATTCTTTTGATGCTTTTCTTCACAGAGTCTCAAAGTGCCTTAAATACGTTTAAGTCTCTGAAACTTAGGATACAGGGAAATTGAATAATAAATTATCAATTGAATGATCAATGATGTAAAATATGATATTTTTTCCGTGGTTATACTGTTGCTAAATTGACTTTTCTCTCCAAGAAATCTTCTGAAAACTTCACACCACCACCTGAATGCCCACTCCCAAGTGGTCGGGGCTCCACGGGAATGCTGACCACACTTCCTCTCAGGGGCAGACCTGCAGGGCTGCTCCTCCCCAGTGCCCTTCTTCTCTTACTGTGAGACTATGTCAGCACATTATGATTATGATGCAGCAGCAATAGAACAATGCCCAGAGCAGCCTGGACTGCGCTTCTTTTACTAAGTGGTTATTTCCTGCTGGGTAGACATAAACACCTGCTAAAGAAATGTGAAAAGAGTGGAAACGTGCTGTTTGGAGATTATTTTCCTAGTCGACATCCAGGAGATCTCCAGAGATCTATTTCAGCCCCATCTGTTGGTAAGTGACTCTCTCATTACTGCAACTTGGGTTTGAAACTGATAGAGAAGAAAATGAATAGTTCAATTAATTCTGGTAATTCGAGGGCAGAATGTCTATTTTTTTTCCATCTTCCTCTTCTCCTTCTAGTTTTATTTCTTCTACCTCAACCAGAACAAGCAGAAAAGCCGAGAGACTTAACACCTGGTGACTGCTTTTCTTTTTCTTAGAAATAATTTCATTGAGAGTTTGAGTTTGAAATGAAAGCATGTTTTCTGGATTGTTTTCAATTTTTTTTTTTTTTTTAGACAGTGTCGCCTTGCCACCCAGGCTGGAGTGCAATGGCACGATCTCGGCTCACCGCAACCTCCCAGGTTTAAGCGATTCTCCTGTCTCAGCCTCCCCAGTAGCTGGGATTACAGGTGTGCCATCATGCCCAGATAATTTTGGGTTTTGTTTTGTTTTTTGAAGTAGAGACAGGGTTACAGGCACTGGCCATCATGCCCAGCTAATTTTTTTTTTTTTTTTTTTTTGTATTTTTGTAGAGGCGGGGTTTTACCATGTTGGCCAGGCTGGTCTTGAACTCCTGACCTCAGGTGATCTACCCGCCTCAGCCTCCCAAAATGCTGGGATTATAGGCGTGAGCCACTGTGCCCAGCTTTTTTTTTTTTTTTTTGAGACATAGCTTCACTCTGCTGCCCAGGCTGGAGTGTAGTGGTGTGATCTTGACTCACTGCAACCTCCACCTCCCGGGTTCAAGCCATACTTGTGCCTCAACCTCCCAAGTAGCTGGGACTACAGGCACACACCACCATGCCTGGCTAATTTTTATGATATTAGTAGAGATGGGGTTTCGTCATGTTGGCCAGGCTGGTCTCAAAGTCCTGAACTCAAAAGATCCACCTGCCTTGGCCTCCCAAAATTCTGGGATTACAGGTGTGAGCCACTGTACCCGGCCTGTTTTTAAATTTTGATTTTTCAGACTGTTATCCCAATATTTTCGTCCATAAGAAAAAATTCTCAAAGACTGAGAATTGAATAAATTTTGGGGGAAACAGCCTTTTTTAATTACTCAGATGTTTCAAGATTCAGAACACAAGGCTTTCTCTTCAAAGCTGAAAGGCTGGGCATGGGGATATCATTTTCAAGAGATAGGGGCCACAACAGTTAGCCTCCTGCAAAGGTGCAACCAGAACTGCAACCTAGAATTGTACTGGACCTAGCCTAAAAATATGTTTATTAGTATAGTAAGAATGTTGGGAAAAATCACATAGGTAAATGCCACACTTCAAAGTGCTGGGAATAATTAACCTCAAAGCTCCAAGGACTACAGAGAACAACTTTAACAAGTGACAGGTAAATGCTGTCATTTAAGAGCTATCATGTAGCCAGGTGTGGTGACTCACGCCTGTAATCCCAGCACTTTGGGAGGCTGAGGCATGTGAATTACCTGAGGTCAGGAGTTTGAGACCAGCATGGCCAACATGGCAAAACTTTGTCTCTACTAAAAATACAACAATTTGCCAGGCATGGTGGTGGGCACCTGTAATCCCAGCTACTCAGGAGGCTGAAGAATGAGAATCACTTGAACCCAGGAGGTAGAGGTTGCAGTAAGCCAAGATCGCAGCACTGCACTCCAGCCTGGGTGACAGAGCGAGACTCCATCTAAAAAAAAAAAAAGAGCCATCATGTAATTACAGACAAATAACACAGTAAAAAGACCACATGAGAATCCAGGTAGTGGGTTTATGAGTGTTCACTATAGAAATCTTTCAACTTTGCCAGAAGTTTGAAACTGTTTATAATAAAATATTGGAGGGAAAATACCACATTGTAATGGTAAACAGGAAACATTTGTAGAGGACATTTTGGGGGCATGTACAGACATCTCTCTGAATTAGGCAGTCAGAAAAGCCAACCAAGACAGTGCAACACTGGCTCTTCAGATTCCCACTCTCTCCCCTTCCCAATGGCCATGAACACTCAAGCTGTCACATTTCCAAAAAGTTCCAGATGACTGCGTTTATCCCCAGGAAAATAAAGGCACCCCACCTCTACCACAGGGTGAATGCATCCCATATTTGTATCTAAGAATAGTAGTTCTCAGCCCAAATGGAGCCTTGATCATCCTTGAAACAGTATACACAGATAGGGAAGCCCTGACGACACCACGGAATGTCTGAAGAGCAGCTGAAGTGACTCCCTCTTGAAACGCATACAGCACATTGCCTCTCTGTGCTTGGTTTTCCTATAGAACAACTAGCATTGGTTTCTGATCTATAATCCGATTTAATAAGGAATCTCTCTAACTTTTCTTTTACTAAAAGTAGCCAACTACACTTTGTCAAATGAAAATTATACTGTAATTCTGCAGAAAAGTACAACCTAATGTAGCTATCTGCTGAATGAATCACCATTCAATTGGAACTTGAAAAACAGAGAAAGGATTGAGAGGGAGAAAAAGTACTGATTAAAAGAAGTAACAAAGACCATAAGGGATCAGCTAGTGATAGGACGAGCTCATCCATCTCAAATAAAACTCCATTCTTTGTGCCATCCTTGCTCTGCGGTTCAGCAAAAGCCCTTCCCTGCAACATGGCTCTGCATCCTGCCTGCTTAATTAGATGAATAGGACGTTGAATGGGCCCAGCAAAAGGCAAACATTATTGGAAAAATATAAGCTATGATTGTGAAGACTGATACACAATCCTGATAGAATAAATTATGACAAAATATTCCATGTGTCTGTGCCACGGAGCTAGCTCTGTGTTTCCAAGATAGCCCATAACAACCCTGCTTTAATTCTGACTTTCATTCAGCAGGTAGTTCTGTTTCTTGCTTTCTTTTTTTTCCCTAGCTAACACCTTGAATAATCAACATGTATTTTTGAGTCACCAAAGTTAATAATGATATCTTAGTAAGGTGATTGGATCAGAGGGTGGGGTCTGAACTGTCAGGCTTGATTGCCTGTCTCTACTGTGCCCGCACACCAAGAAGGCAAAGCAGAGTGCAAGGAGCTTATCAGGAGAGAACCCAGAAACCATCTGTTTCTTTTTAAAAGAAAATCATTTCTTAAGCATCAGTTTAACCACTGGCCACAATTACTTTTGCAACTCTTTACAAGAGATTGTCACATTCCAAATAGCTTGACACCATGATTGATAACTGCTGTTTAAAAAAAAAAAATAGTTAATGTTATGGGGATACATTAATATATATTACATACATTTTAACATATATTACTTACATATATGTGTGCATATATATATAAAGAAATTAAGTAGGCCAAGCACAGTGGCTCATGCCTGTAATCCCAGCACTTTGGGAGGACAAAGTGGGTGGATCACTTGAGCCCAGGAGTTTGAGACCAGCCTGGGCAACACAGGAAGACCCAATTTCTACAAAAAATTTTAAAAATTAGCTGGACGGTTACATGTACCTGTAATACCAAATACCTCAGGAGGCTGAGGTGGGAGGATCACTTGTGCTGGGGAGGTTGAGTCTGCAGTGAGCCATGATCACACCACTGCACTCCAGCCTGTGTGACAGAGCAAGACCCTGTCTCAAAAAAAAAAAAAAAAAAACCAAAACCAAACAAACAAAACAGGCAAACAACAGAGAGAAAGAAATTAAGTGAAAAATCTATTTGTAAAACTGGAAAGACATATACCAAAACTTGAATACTGTCTCCAGATATTCCGAGTGAACCTAAGGCCAGCCACAGTGACTCACACCTATAATCCTAGCACTTTGGGAGGCCAAGGTGGACAGATTGCTTGAGCTCAGGAGTTTGAGACCAGCCCGTGTAACATGGTGAAATCCCATCTCTACAAAAAATACGAAAATTACCCAGGCGGGATGGTGCAGTGTTTTTCCAAAACAGTGCACTCTTTCACTTAACTCTGTATGAACAAGAGTTGACTGCTGCATCTCCTCAAATCTAAGATCCACCAATTATTAAGATATATCATTATTTTATGTGCCACTAAGAAGGAAAACATGCTGCTAATTATAGAACTTAATGCTTTATTTTTGGTTTTTTTTGTGTGTGTGTGTGTGTGTGTGTGTGTGTGTGTGTGTGTGTGTGTGTGTGTGTTTTGAGACAGAGTCTTGCTCTGTCACCCAGGTTGGAGTGCAGTGGCACGATCCCAGCTCACTGCAATCTCCACCTTCCGGGTTCAAGCAATTCTCCTGCCTCGGCCTCCCAAGTGGGCATATACTGAGAGACCTCCTAGAGAGGCCTTTAGGAGTAGCTGGGACTACAGGTGCATACCACCACGCCTGGGTAATTTTTGTAATTTTTAGTAGAGATGGGGTTTTGGCATGTTGGCCAGGCTGTTCTCAAACTCCTGACCTCGGGTGATCCGCCCACCTTGGCCTCCTAAATAATGCTTTCTTATGGGAATTTTCCCACACAATATCTAGCTCTTGCTCCTGTGCCATCATCCTCTGTGCATTTCTTAAAGGGCTCCACTCTAGTCTTCAGGACCTTCTTCTAAGCCTCCGACAAGTTTCATACTAGAGCTTTCTTCTTTTCTTCTTCTCTTTTTTCTTTTCTTTTCTTTTCCTTTCTTTTCTTTGTTTCTTTCTTTTTTTTTTTTTTTTTTTTTTTTTTTTTTTTTTTTTTTTTTTGGTAGAGTTTTGCTCTTGTCGCCCAGACTGGAGGCTTGGCTCACTGCAACCTCCACCTCCCATGTTCAAGTGATTCTCCTGCCTCAGTCTCCTGAGTAGCTGGGATTACAGGCACCTGTCACCACGCCAGGCTAATTTTTATATTTTCAGTAGAGACAGGGTTTCACGACATTGGCCAGGCTGGTCTTGAACTCCTGACCTAAAGTGATCTGCCTGCCTTGGCCTCTTAAAGTGCTGGGATTATAGGCGTGAACCACCACGCCTGGCCAGGAGCTTTCCTAATCTTACTAGAAGATGTCAACAAAAGGTTTTCAGGTAATCGTAAGGAGCACATTTTAAAGAGCAATTAAATGCAACCCAGGTAATACAATCTGTACTGCTTCCTTTGCCACATTATCAAATATCCTCATTGGTCATAGGAGCTCAGGATTCCACTGTTTGGCAGTTTCAAGCCAATTATGAGCTATGGACTCATGACTCTGGTTGCACTCACCAAAAAACCATGGTGAGGATCATCAACAACAGCTTAGCTCCGACATAGACAGCAGCCTCAGACTCCGCTTCACCTACCCAGTATACTTAGAAGAATTCTAACTCTTTCTAAGGCCTTGACGTCACACTTGAAATAACAGTAAGGTTTAGAATTGAAATTAGTTTCTTTTGTATACAAATTAATGCCTTTTTTTTTTTTTTTTTTTTTGAGACAGGGTCTTGCTCTGTTGCCCAGGCTGGAGTGCAGTGACAAGATCATAGCTCACTGTAGCCTCAACCTCCCAGGCTCAGGTGATCCTCCCACCTCAACCTCCCAAGTAGCTGGAACTATAGGCATGCACCACCACAACCGGATAATTTCTGTATTTTTTGTAGAGACAAGATCTTGCTATGTTTCCCAGGCTGTTCTCAAATTCCTAGGCTCAAGTGATTGGCCTGCCTTGACTTCCCAAAGTGCTGGGATTATAGGTGTGAGCCATTGTGCCTGGCCTGTATACATTTGATTTTCTTTTTGTTCTTTCTTTTACAAAAGATTCCATCATGAAAAAGAGGAAGCTCAAACTGAAGTGAGTTAAAAACTTCATCTCCTAGAGAAGATTGTGGCTCAGCCTGAGTTGAGATTTGACAGTTCTTACAGATAAACCATGTGGGCTGCATGGCTACATCCTCTCCTGCCCTTTTCTCTCTTCCTTCCTTTCCCTCTTCCTTCCTCTTCTACTTACTTTACTTTCCAAGATTATTTTCTTCTTTCTCTCTCCTGGAGACTCGATGTACTGAAGATGTTGCCTATAGCAGTGGTCACCTTGGAAGCAGGGACCAGTTTTGTGGAAGACAATTTTTCCACTGACTTAGAGTCTCATAAGGAGCACACAACCAAGAGCTATGCCTCAGTTATGGGTGAATAGTCTGGAAAAAGTGTTCTCAGTTTAGTATAGCTTTGATAATCTACTTACAAAAAAGGGATTGGAGAACCCTGCATGATGAAGAGGGTACCATTACTTTGGAAGATAGAAAATAATGGTCTGTGGGGGAATATATTGAGAGACCTCCTAGAGAAGCCTTTCCTAATACCCTAATAAGTGTCTTAAAGCCCATATAATAAATAATTTTTTATTATATGTATCTGTTTTCAAGTCCTGATAGTCCCTATCATCCAACATCTTGTTTGAGTTTCTTTTGGCTTGCTTACTACCTGTCTCCCCATAGAGTGTAAGCTGAATGAGGGCAGGGATCTTATTAGTCCTGTTTAGATGTATGTATTAATACAAGTGCCTGGTGCAGTGCCAAGCATATCACAGATATTGATAAAATTTGCTGAGTTAATAAATAAAACAATTTAATTATGATATTAAATTCTCTCTGTACCCATTAATTGTGTTTCCATTCCCTCAGTTTTTTATGTGTATATGCAAGTGCAATGAAGAAGAACACCAGCAAGTCTACCACGAGGATCAATGAGCAAGATGCTCTCTGCACCCCACACTCCCATGATCCAAGAGATCTTCAAAGTATGTTGGATGGAGGAGAGTATGCCCCTTTTGTATCTCCTCCCATGTTAGAGAGCAATTTTATCCAGGTAAATCATATTCAAGGCCTGAGTTAAGTTCCAATAACTTCAGTAATTTTCTCAAAGAAAACTGAAAAGGATGGTAGGAGAATTGTTTTAAATGTGCCAAGGGAATGTGTGATATTACTAAAGAGAACAATTTGGGAACTTCAAAAAACCTGAAATAATTACAGCGTTAAAGGACATTTACTTCAAATGTCCCCAAAACTCTTATGAAGGACTTCTGTCTTAACTCTACGGTAATTGCCATTCCATCATAATCTTCCCAAAATTACATGAAGCCGTTTTTGGCATTTCCCGCCACAGGGAAACATACAGATAACTTCTTAGGTGTAGAAGACATTCTAAAGAACATCTATGACACAACTAGGGATTACAATGAATCTTAACTCTTAGTTCTGAAGGTAAAATATAATTGTCAGATGGTGTCAGGGAGAAAAGCTTCCTTCTCATAAGAATGTCCCTACATTATGAATGAAACTGCATTTCTGTGCATGTGGGAGCAACGCTAACTTTTCTCTAAACATTCAACATTAAAATGTTCTGACAAAGAAATGGTGAAATGAGTTCAATGATGGGGTCATACCTCTAAAGTTTCTAGAAATTCCTTAACAAAGTCTTAACACTAAACACTGAGCTATTACCTCTAACTCTTAACACATTCGAGCAGCTGCTTAGCTGATTTCACAGAGGGGTGACAAGGGAAGACAACAGACACTTCAAAAGGTAAGGAGAGGATGGCAGGAGCTCTTTTGCCATGGCTGCCAGGCCAATCTCCGAGTAGAACCAGGATGCCACTGTGTACGTGGGGGGCCTGGATGAGAAGGTTAGTGAACCTCTGCTGTGGGAACTGTTTCTCCAGGCTGGACCAGTAGTCAACACCACATGCCAAAGGATAGAGTCTGGCCAGCACCAAGGCTATGACTTTGTGAATTCTTGAGTGAGGATGATGCTGACTATGCCATTAAGATCATGAACATGATCAAACTCTATGGGAAGCCGATACAGGTGAACAAGACATCAGTTCACAACAAAAACATGGATGTAGGGACCAACATTTTCATTCGGAACCTGGACCCTGAGATTGATGATGAGAAGTCGTATCCTTTAAGTTGCACAACCCCACCTAGTTAGCATGTCTTTGGCAGTAAGTTACCAAGATTCCTGACTGAACAGGTTTAAATGAAAAAAGAAAAACAATTAGGCTGGGTACAGTGGCTCATGTTGTAATCCCAGCCCTTTGGAAGGACAAGGCGGGAGGATCGCTTGAGGCCAGGAGTTCAAGATTGGCCTGGGCAATGATACTTTCAGCACCTTTGGGGTCATCTTACAAACCCCTAAGATTATGTGGGACCCTGACACAGGCAACTCCAAAGCTTATGCCTTCATTAATTTTACTTCATTTGATGCTTCGGATGCAGCAATTGAAGCCATGAATGGGCAGTACCTCTGTAACTGCCCTATCACCATATCTTATGCCTTCAGGAAGGACTCCAAGGGTGAGCGCCATGGCTTAGCAGCTGTACGACTTCTGGCAGCTCAGAACCTGCTCTCCCAGCCTGACCGCCCTCATCAGCTGTTTGCAGATGCACCTCCTCCACCCTCTGCCCCCAATCCTGTGGTATTATCATTGGGGTCTGGACTTCCTCCACCAGGCATGCCTCCTCTTGACTCCTTCCCACTCCCAGTGCTGCCTCCTGGAGCCCTCCCACCTGGGATACCCCCCACCATGCCCTACCACCTATGCCTCCTGGGGCTGCAGGACATGGTCCCCCATCAGCAGGAACCCCAGAGGCAGGATATCCTGATTATGGACACTCACGAGCTCACCCATTCCCACCAGGAGGGGTGCCCTATCCAGGGATGTCTCAGATGCAGCTGGCACACCATGGACCTCATGGCTTAGGACATCCCCATTCTGGACACCCAGGCTCTGGGGAGCAGCCACCACCCCAACCACCACCTGGAATGCCTCATCCTGGACCTCCTCCAATCGGCATGCCCCCCAAGGGTCTCCATTCGGATCTACCATGGGTCACCCAGGTCCTATGCTTCCACATGGTATGCGTGGACCTCCTCCACTGATGCCCCCCTCATGTGTACACTGGCCCTGCACGACCCACACCCTATGGCTACCAGCCTCTCCCTCCACCCAGACCCACTCCCCAGCCACCAGTTGCCCCTTGAGACCTGCTTTGGAGCCCTCTCCCTCAGTAAATTCACATTTTCCTTCCTCCTGTTACATCTTCCCAATATCTTTTTGATTCCTTGGAACAATTAGAGATGCTGTAGCTCCTTGGGGCTAAGGCACTAATCCCTTTCAGCACCCCCACCCCATTCCCCTTTTCAATGTAACTTTTTCCACAGGAGGTATTTCTTTTTTATGTTGGTCCTGAGTATTTTGCAAATGCGCAGAGAAAATAAAACTAAACTGCTTGTTCTAAAAAAAAAAAAAAAATGGTAAGGAGACTTCATCTTCCATAAACACATTCTCTGCACTCATACTTGAGTACTAGTGTGAGCTACCCACCTCCAGTATACCACAGGCAGGAGGTGAAGCCTCCCAAAATATCTAATGTTTTAGTGATGTCCCTAGAACACATGTAACAAGTCATGATTTGATGTACTTTACCTTCTACATACTTCTTTCCTACTAATCATGTTTTTACTTTTCCACCTTTCATCCTGTGCCCTTTCCAAGTTAGTTAACTTTTGCACACTCTAACGAAATTACATAGTTCTTGTCCAACACTGGGGGTAGTTAGCAGTCTATAGGTCAGATGTAGCCCCCTATCATAATTTGATAAGTCGTTTCCTTCAAATTGCACAACCCCACCTGGTTAGCATGTCTTTGGCAGTAAGTTTCCAAGATTCCTGACTGAACAGGTTTAAATGAAAAAAGAAAAACAATTAGTCTGGGTACAGTGGCTCATGCTATAATCCCAGCCCTTTGGAAGGACAAGGCGGGAGGATCGCTTGAGGCCAGGAGTTCAAGATTGGCCTGGGCAACAAGGGAGATCCCACCTCTAAAAACATTTTTAAAAATTAGCAGGGTGCAATGCTGCACACCTATATTCCTAGCTACTCGGGAGGCTAAGGAGGGAGGATTGCTTAAGCCCAGGAGCTCCAGGCTGCAGTTAGCTAGGATGGCACTACTGCACTCCAGCCTGGATGACAAGACAAGACTTTGTCTCTAAAAACAAACAAATAAATATTTTTTAAAAAATTAAAAAGAAAGCAATTATCTCAAATAGAGTGAAAGAGCCCCAGGGCATCAGCTCACTCCCAGTAGAAGACTCACGTTCTCTTTTTTTGTTCTGTCACCTTCAAGCCAGTTCCCCTCAGGGCATCACATCCAAACAGGACAGTGACAGCTGCCAGCAGTAGCAGATATTCATCTCATCCTGGTGGCTCTGTCTCCTGGTGGCTCTGAGAAAGGTTTTCCAGGATTGGAGGAGACCCCTCTATGTCTTGCTGGTCACACGCCACTGCTGAAACCAGTCACTGGCAAGGGGTGGAGCGGAACCACCACTACCCATTTAAGTTAATCAGGATTTAATCCCTGAGCTGGGTCATTATCCCTGAGCCATGATATTGGACAAAACCAGGATTCTGTTAATCTGGAAGAAGAGGGGCACAGTTTGGGTACATTATCAATAGTGTGAGCTACATCCTCTTTCTTTCAATGATGTATTTTTTAATTGAACCAGTTATCATACAGCTGAGAAACCACAGTGTAGCTCCTCTCTGCCTTCCTTCATTTCCCTGTCTGCCCATCCTCCAGTCTCTTCTTCTACCAAGTGGCAGAGATTTTATTGGCCAAGTTTCTTGGACTTTGGAGGTTTTATACATGCTCTTCCTCTGCCTGGAAACCTCTCCTCTCCACCCAGCCAGTTTATCTCCCACATGGTTCAGGTATCAGCTAGAGGTCTCTTCCTCCGGGGAGACTTTCATGACCCCATATCCAGGGGTGTGCTGGAATTGGTCGATTGGTAAGTGTTCAGGAAATTTGCAAGTCAGTTGTTAAACACAGCCTTTTTAAAAAATAAATTATAGACCAGGTGTGGTGACTCATGCCTATAATCCCAGCACTTTGGTAGGCCAATGTGGGTGGATCACCTGAGGTCAGGAGTTTGAGATCAGCCCCATCAACATGATGAAACCCCATCTCTCCTAAAAATACAAAAATTAGCCGGGCTTGGTGGCACGTGCCTGTAATCCCAGCTACTCAGGAGGCTGAGATAGGAGAATCACTTGAACCCAGGAGGCAGAAGTTGCAGTAAGCCGAGATCACGCCACGGCACTCCAGCCTGGGCAACAGAACAAGACTCCATCTAAAAAAAAATTAAATTCTTAAAAATTAAATTTTATAAACATATCTAAAATAAAGGCAACAAATATTCAAAACTCATTGTTCCTATTCTTTTACTACATTTTACTATTGTCTATACTTCTAAGGTTATAAATATAAGAGTTTGGCAAGAGTTTGTGGAATTTATCAATTGGCTCTATGGAATTTAAACTAAAGACTAAAGAATATTGCATATTATTTGTAAATGTGTGTGCTGCTTGTCTTTTATGTCAGTAACATTTTAAACTTATGTGTAAATGTGTGTACCTTCCAAGACCTAGCTGTTACCAGAATATCACTGCCTATCTCCCCACTCTAAGCTAAGTCAAGTCCTCTGTTATATGCTCCTGTAACATCCTGAACTTGTACTTGGTAACACTTCTTACAGTAATAATTAGTCACATACTTAAATTGTTTAATGTTTGCCTTCCCTGGTAGACCCCCACGGGTCAGAGACTGTGTATGTTCCCTGTGGTATCTCCAAGAATTAGCATGAGCAAGTGAAGGAACAAATACATCATGGTTCATTTCTCCTTTATTTCCTGCCCTCTTCCACTTCTCAGGCAAGCAAGGTTGTCAAAGCCACACATTTCATCGTATAATGCCTTTTCCTGTTTTCTGCACTCAGGTTAACAGGAGAGGTGAATCCATTTACCTTCATAACCGAGCCAACTGGGTGACCGTAGGCATCTGTTCTTCCAGTTCCACCCACAAGATCCCTAATGTGATGCTACTGGCACATCTGACACCTGGTTCCCGGAAAGATACAGAACCGCTATTTAAAAGTCTCCTGACATCTCCTCCTGCAGAGAAACTGGTGCTCACCAGGTGAGTTACAAAGAGAAGAGGTTAAAGATCTCTCAGAATATGTGCATTACCCCTGCGGATCTGAAATTAGAAACACTGATGACAATTGCACCAAAGGAGCATCTCACTCGCATTCCCTGCTGCAAATGACAAAGAGGAGCATCCTTAAAGACGGGTGAAATAATGTATGACAGTGGATATCAAGCAGGCTGTTAATTTTTTAAAAACTAAATCTAATTAACAGGAACTGAAGACTCATAATAAACTGCCTTTCTAGAACATGCCTCCTCTTTCACAGCATCCCAGCTTCCAACAGAGTTAGCTCTGGTCTTGTCTCAGCCTCTAACTTGGTCTATGATCGTGAGCAAATTGCTTGACTTTAAGTTAACTTTGAAGGATTAATTTAAATGGAGACCTTCTCATGATAAATAGTTGACATTCTGATGTGTTTTGTTTTTGAGATGGAGTCTTGCACTGTCACCCAGGCTGGAGTGCAGTGGCACGATCTTGGCTCACTACAATCTCCACCTCCCAGTTCAAGCGATTCTCCTGTCTCAGCCTCCCGAGTGGCTGGGACTACAGGCATACACCACCATGCTCAGCTAATTTTTGTATTTTTAGTAGAGACAGGGTTTCACCATATTGGTCAGGCTGGTATTGAACTGCTGACCTCAGGTGATCCACCCGCCTTGGCGTCCCAAAGTGCTGGGATTACAGGTGTGAGCCACTGCACCCAGCCTATTCTGACATTTTTATACATCAGAGCCTTAGGTATATGATTAAGATGAGATGGTCCTCAGGAGCCCTTACCCAGACCTATCTGGGAGACAAGTCGGTGTCTTGAGTCTCACTCTTCAAACTACTATAAAATATAAGAAAGAGGCTGGGCATGGTGGCTCACACCTGTAATCCCAGTACTTTTGGAGGCCAAGGCAGGTGAATTGCTTGAGCCCAGGCATTCAAGACCAGCCTGGGCAACGTGGTGAAACCTTGTCTCTACAAAAAAATACAAAAATTAGCCAGGCGTTGGTGGTACATACCTGTTGTGCCAGCTACTTGGGAGGATGAGGTGGGAGGATCACTTAGGCACAGGATGTCAAGGCTGCAGTGAGCCATGATCACACCACAACTGCACTCCAGCCTGGGCAACAGAGTGAGACCTTATCTCAAAACAAACCAACAAACAAACAAACAACTATATATATAAGAAAGGCCTTTTTATAAGCCTCCAATCAGGTTTCCAAATGATGTTACCATGTGCTTGTTTGCAGGTTTCTCCCTCTGCAGTTTGTGACTCTTTCTGTGCATGACGCAGAGAACATGCGCCTAAAAGTAAAGCTGGTGAGTGGTCGAGCCTACTACTTACAGCTCTGCACTTCTGCATGTAAACAAGACACCTTGTTTTCTCAATGGGTGGCCCTCATCTCCCTCTTGAATCAGGAGAAAGCGAAAGTTTCCAAAGTGTCAGAGGTTTCAAGTCTCTCAGGAATTACGAATAGCACAGACGTCACAGGCTCCACGGACGTGATGGATATCACAGCGTTCACAGCCATCCTGACCCCGTACATGTACGCAGGTAGAGGCCCTGAACATGTCAGGGACAGCATAGATTTCTCAGAATTCACAGACATCACCGACATCACAGATGTCACAGACCTTCCAGAAAATGAGGTCCCAGAGGTCCCGGATATAAGAATTGTTACAGAAGTCATAGAAGTCAGAGAAGCCACAGAAGTCACAGACAACTCTGATATTACAAACTGCTCGGGAGTCACAGTGGTGTTTGAAAACAATGACTTAATCAGGGCCAAGCAAGAGGAGAAGGTACGTGTCACTGAAGGCTTTCATGTTTTAATAACTGAGAACTAGAGTGATTACCAAGATCACACTTCTTGGTTAGCTGACATTGATTATCAAAATGCTATGGAACCTACCTACTCTGAGTAACCCAATTTTAATAGTGAGATTCGATCTCTGAACCCTGGTGTAAAGGAGTTGTAAGATATCTCCTGAAATAGGCAGTGACAACCGTTAACATAAATCTTAGCCCAGCATCCGAAATGGAAAGAACCTTGGAATCAGAATCAGAACCAAGTTAGACTCTCAACCTGCAGCATATTACTTGTGTGACTTCACCCAAGTCACATAATCCACATGAGCCTCAGTTTCCTCACTTCTAAAATAAGGATATTAATACAATGTAAGGGTTATTTTCTGGTTTAAAAATATATAGCAGTACCCAGTACCTTGAAGGATGGGATGGAATTTCTATGGGTAAACATGAGGATGGAAATAGGATAATAAAAAACAAAACAAAATGAATGGCTTTAGAAAAGGCCAGAGAGTGGAAAAACACAGAGTCATGTCCAAAAATGTTTCATTCAGTTGGGCTAGAGGATAATATATATGGAGAATAGTAGAAAATAGGACTGGAAAGTTGCTTAAAAACCTTGAGAGCCAAATTTAAAGTGAGAACTCTTTGGGCAAACCTTAGTGACCACAGTCTCCTATGTAAGGGAATGAAGGAGCTGTGTTTTTAAAAGATTAATCTAATGGCAGGATGGATTATAGGTAAAGAGATCTGTTTGAAGACTACTGTTGAAAAACTTCCTCTAGGTCCACAATAGAAAAAAGGCCGGTGCAGTGGCTCACACCTGTAATCTCGGCACTTTGGGAGGCCAAGACAGGTGGATTGCTTGAGCTTGGGAGTTCAAGACCAGCCTAGGAAACATGGCAAAACCCCATCTCTACTAAAAATACAAAAATTAGCTGGGCATGGTGGTGTATGCCTGTAGTACCAGCTGCTAGGGAGGCTGAGGTGGGAGGATTACTTGACCCTTGGAGGTAGAGGGTGCAATAAGCCAAGATCATGCCACTGCTCTCCAGCCTGGGTGACAGAGTCACACCCTGACTCAAAACACACACACACACACACACACACACACACACGAAAAGAAAAATGGTAGGGCTAGGCACGGTGGCTCATGTCTATAATCCCAGCACTTTGGGAGACCAAGGCGGGCGGATCACCTGAGGTCAGGAGTTTGAGACCAGTCTGGCCAACATGGCAAAACCCTATCTCTACTAGAAAATAAAAATTAGCTGGTGTGGTAGTGGGCACCTGTAATCCCAGCTACCTGGGAGGCTGAGGCAGGAGAATTGCTTGAACCTGGGAGGTGGAGGTTGCAGTGAGCTGAGATCACGCCATTGCACTCCAGCCTGGGCGACAGAGTAAGACCCTGTCTCAAAAAACAAACAAACAAACAAAAAACCTAATTTTTAATTAGGAAAAATTCAAATAGTTCTACACAATTTTTAATGATAGGAGGAAAATGCTTATAATAAAATGTTAAGTGAAAAAGGTAGGAGACAGAACTTCAAGATGATCTAAGTAGACATAAACAAAATAAATAGAAAGATCAGAGTGAAATGTGCACAGGAGTAGTTGTTTCTGGGCAGTGGCATCATACAAGCAATAATGTATTAGTATTATTAGTAGTAGTAGTAGTATTATTATTTTGAGACAGTCTCACTCCATTGCCCAGGCTGGAGTGCAGTGGCAAGATCTCAGCTCACTGCAACCTCCACTTCTCAGGTTCAAGCGATTCTTATGCCTCAGCCTTCCAAGTAGCTGGGATTACAGGTGCCCACCACATGCCCGGTTAATTTTTGTATTTTTAGTAGAGATGGGGTTTCTCCATGTTGCCCAAGCTGGTCTCAAACTCCTGGCCTCAAGTAATCCACCTGCCTTGGCAAGCAATAATATTCTACCTTTAGCTTTATTCATTATAGGATTTTCCAAATATGCTACAATAAATATGTATGACTTTCATTGTCAGGGAAAAGTTTTATCTTTAAGGAAGAAAATTATTACATCATTTTAAAGGAAATGCAGTAGAGGTATATTAGGCCATTCTTGCATTGCTATAAAGAAATATCTGAGGGTGGGCAATTAATAAAGAAAAGAGGGTTAATTGGCTCATGGGTCTGTAGGTGGTAAAGGAAGCACAATGCTGGCATCTACTTCAAGCGAGGGCCTCAGGGAACTTACAGTCGTGCAGAAGAGAAGGAGAGCCAGCACATCACATGGCCAGAGAGAGAGCAAAAGAGAGAGGAAGGAGGTGCCAGGCTCTTTTAAACAACCAAATCTCGCATCAACTCAGAGTGAGAACTCACTCATTACAGTGAGGACAGCACCAAGCCATTCACAAGGGATCTGCCCCCAAGACCTAAACACCTCCCACTAGGCTCACTTCCAGCATTGGAGGTCACATTTCAACATGAGATTTTCAAGTGACAAAACATCCAAACCATATCAAGAAGTAATGGACTAGGCAGGGGCAGTGGAAAGAAGAAGGTGCGGACAGGAAGGACATTAGAAAGCCAGCTTTAGGGCCTGCTGACCAACTGCCTTGAGTCCTGAGTGATTCTGAGCAAATCAGAGAGTGGCTAGGAGAGGTGATACATTAACAGAAACTGGGAAATTAGGAGCAGGGTGGGATTTTAGGGTATTAAGTTTTAGATACAGGTTCTAAGTCTTTTGACAAAAAAAAAAAAATCTCTTATATTATGAGCCCCTGGCCCCTGTAACCTATCAGATGCTCTAAGACCAAACTCAGACTGGGGAATCAGTGGCATTTCTGGGAAACATTTATTGTGCTGTAATGAGATGCCAACTGTCTTCTGTGAGGTGACAACACGAGCTTGGGAACATGTTGTGTCAGGCTGCAGTGGGGCAGGCCCTGGCTCCCACACAGCCTGCCGCCAACACACCTGGGGCTCTCCCCATAGTCGTGCCACTCTAAGCCTCTCTCCCTCCTTACTACTCCTCACAGGTGTTAAGTGACGATGAATGAAATGCTGCCTGTATTAGATACTGCTCCACAAACACCTATTACCTGATGCTCTTCTGTTACCTGATTTGCTGCTGCTTTTTATTTTTAAAGGAAAAATTGAAAAACATTCTGAAGCCTGGGTGTCTACAAGATACAAAAAGTAAGAGTGAGTTGAAAGAATCCTCAAAACATGTCACCATCTCAAACATAACACTGACTTTTGAAGGTAAAAGATATTTTCAAACTACCTTGACTCCAGTAGAAAGTGAGGCAAATACATCCAAGGAGATGGAGAATAAGACCTCTGAAGAAAAGACACCTGATTTTCAGAGCACGGCTCTCGAGGCTGAAGAATCCAGGTATGTGAGGCAGGAACATGCCAAAGGAATTCTAAGACATGAAATATTAATAAAGAAGTGTGTGCTTTAGTCTCTTAACTCAGGCATCTGCCACTGAAGATTCTCAGAGACAGATGTAGTATAACTGAATGATGATATAGTCAATTCTGAATGACCCACATTTGGTTCAACCTTGGCTAATTTTTATTTTCCAACTTCTCATGTTTCTCAATTGGCATTCTGGCTGTCTACCTGATGTCAATTGTTGTATGTGCTTCAGGAAACATAACAGAGGCCGGGTGCGGTGGCTCACACCTGTAATCCCAGCACTTTGGGAGGCCGAGGCAGGTGGATCGCCTGAGGTCAGGTGTTCAAGACCAGCCTGGCCAACATGGCAAAACCCCGTCTCTACTAAAAAAATTAGTCCGGCGTGGTAGTGGACATCTGTAATCCCAGCTACTCGGGAGGCTGAGGCACGAGAATTGCTTGAACCCTGGAGGTGGAGGTTGCAGTGAGCTGAGATCGTGCCACTGCACTCCAGCCTGGGCGACAGAGCAACACTCTGTCTCAAAGAAAAAAAGGAAAGAAAATAGAATCACAGTGTTCACATATTTAGGAGTTGGAGTCATATTGACTTTGATAGTGATTATGGGTACTTTTAATTTTATTAAAGGTACATCTCTATACTTCTCTATATTTTCCTCTATACATGTTCTCTATGTATCCCTTATCCTTCTCTACACTTCCAACTAATAACTTTTTTGCTTTTTTCTTTTTTAAAGACTAGTCAAGTGCAGTAATGAGAAAAGGAAAAAGTTAATTCTACTTGTGACAATAAATGCTAAAATCTTACAGTCTTAGCAGGGAAAATACAGCAAGCTTAGTATAAAATTAAGGGAATGGTTAATATTAATCATTATTAAAATATAAAAGAGCAGAAAAGCCGTGATACTATAAATACATTGATAAAGTTTGATATTCTTGATCACAGAAAAGATCCACATAGTAGAGTTTTCCTTTAGCACAATAAAGAATATTTACCACAAACCAGAGCCTATACTTTTTTTTTTTTTTTTTTTTTTTTTTTTGAGATGGAGTCTTGCTCTGTCACCCAGGCTGGAGTGCAGTGGCACAATCTCGGCTCACTGCAAGCTCCGCCTCCCAGGTTCACGCCATTCTCCTGCCTCAGCCTCCTGAGTAGCTAGGACTACAGGCGCCCGCCACCACGCCCGGCTAATTTTTTTGTATTTTTAGTAGAGACAAGGTTTCACCGTCTTAGCCAGGATGGTCTCGATCTCCCGACCTCGTGATTCGCCTGCCTCGGCCTCCCAAAGTGCTGGGATTACAGGTGTGAGCCACCGTGCCCGGCCGCCTCTAGTATTTTTAATGAAGAAATTTATAATTGTTCTATTTAGAACTTAGAACACAACATGCTGAAAAGCCCATCTCTACAAAAACTACAAAAATTAGTCAGGAGTGGTGGTGCATTCCTGTAGTCCCAGCTACTCGGGAGGCTGAGGTGGGAGGATGGCTTGAACCCAAGAGGTCAAGGCTGCAGTGAGCCACGATTGTGCCACTGCACTCCAGCCTGGGTGACAGAGTGAGACCCTGTCTCAAACAAAAACAAAACTTAGAACAAATTAGGAGTGTTCCCATTAACATTTCTATGTGATATAAAAGTTTCTAGCAATCTGATAGGACTCAGAAATACAAAGAAAATTATGCATTTTTAAAATCACTCTTTGCAAATGGCAATTCATATTTAGAAAATTTGAGAAACAACAAAAATTTAGTTTCTTTTGGAAGGCTACAGATTATAAGATAAACACAAAAAATAGTTTTAATTTACATGCCAAAAATATACTGAAAAAAGGGTGTATTTTTCAACATCAACAACAAGAACCAAATATTTAGTGAGGCTGATACTCTTATCTATATAAACGGAATTACAAAACTTTAATGGCAGAAATAAAAGACAACTTGAATAAGGACAACTAGATTCTTCTTCTGCATAAGTAGATACAAATACAATACCAATTAACATCTCAATAGGATATCTCATAGAAATCATAAAATTGTATAGAAAAAAAGGATGTGGAAAAGATAGGGGTAAACATCTCAAGGAAACAGGGTAGGAGGGGAGTGAGGGGTAAAACACTACACATTGACTACAGCGTACAGTGCTTGGGTGATGGGTGCCCCAAAATCTCAAAAATCACCACTAAAGAACTTATTAATGTAACAACAACAACAACAAAAATCAGAAACTGGACTGTTAGGTTCACATTTAAAACTGTTTTAAAAAATTCACTGACACAGATGTTTACCCCTATCTTTTCCACATCCTTTTTTTCTATACAATTTTATGATTTCTATGAGATATCCTATTGAGATGTTAATTGGTATTGTTGAGTGCTTAGCATTACACTAGGTATGACTACCTCCCTGGCTTGGTTGAGGATAAAATGTCAGTCTCCCTGTTCTGTGCCAGTGCTGACAGATACTTAATCATGCATTTGGAGACTGTTGTTTCTGGCTCACCTATTGCAGGCTCTTAGCTGCTTTCTCTGTTTCATTTGTTATGTATTTAATCTTATAAGCTGTCTATCATTGGCTTGTACAGAGGATAAAGCTAAGATGATAGCAGGAGAGTCTCCAGTTCTTTCACTTAAAGTTTCTGTCTACCCAACTGGATAATAAGCACCTTGCAGGCAGGGAGCCTCTTCTTGGTATGGTATCCTTCACACCTCTTAGAACACATGCTGGACACAGAGAAGGGCTCAAAACTGGCCTGGTGAATTAAAAGAACAGTGGTAATATGTTACTATAATTTTAGGAACTATTTTGTACATGGTGAAAATATTTTCATTATAAACTTGGGACTTACAAAGACTGCCTAATATAAAGGAAAGCAGAAATGCTAGGATCATTGTTTTGCATTGTTAAAAAATATTCTATTATGCATTCAAAAAAAGTTTTCCAGTTCCTATACTATTTCTTCTCTCTAATTTAGCATATTTGATTTTCCATAGTAAAAAGTTAAAGAAAAAAACCTCAAGGAAACAATTGGGATGAAAAATGTCTAAGGGCTACTCAGTCCTATAAAATCTTAAGCCATGTTATAATTAAATGGCCATCAGAACTACCAGTGCAAAGTTTCGAATATAGAAATAAAAACATAACCAGGCACAGTGGCTCATGCTTGTAATGCTAGCACTTTGGGAGCCTGAGGTGGGAGGACGATCCTGGGCAACTTACCGAGACTGTGCCTCTACAAAAAAGATTTAGAAGTAGCCAGGTGTGATGGCACATGACTATAGTCTTAGCTACAGGGGAGGCTGAGGCAGGAGGATCTCTTGAGCCCAGGAGTTCAAGGTTACAGTAAGCTATGAACATGTCACTGCACTCCAGCCTGTCTCAAAAAAAAAAAAAAAATACAAAAATAGATCCAAACTGATATGAATTCAAAAGAAGCATGGAAAGAGGCTGGGTGCAGTGGCTCACACCTGTAATCCCAGCATTTGGGAGGCTGAGGCAGGTAGATCATGAGGTTAGGAGTTCAAGACCAGCCTAGCCAAGATGGTGAAACCCTGTCTCTACTAAAAACTACAAAAATTAGCCAGAGGTGGTGGCAGGCACCTGTAATCCCAGTTACTCGGCCCAGAAGGCAGAGGTTGCAGTGAGCCGAGATCATGCTACTGCATTCCAGCCTGGGTGACAGTGAAACTCCGTCTCAAAAAAAAAAAAAAAAAAGCATGGAAAAAGCAAAATTCTAGGAAAATGTTGGTCAAAGATTTATGATGTACCATAAAAAAATTTCAGATAGGAAAAGAGTAAATTATTTTAAAACTATAATGAGCCAGAAGAAAATGGAATGGTATCATTGCCTCATTTACAGAGGAAAGATCATTTATTGTCCACTGATGCAATAAAAGTAATTCAATGGCAGAGTTTGCATCATTCACTCAAAAATATTTATGAGCACTTCCTATGCACTAGGCACTGGGGATACAGCACCAAAAATGATCAAGTCCCTATCTCATGAAGTGTTTTATTCTAGTGGGGGACACAGATAATAAACCAATACAATATGTTATGCCAGCTAGAATGTGCTGTGATGAAAATAAAAAGAGAGAGAGAGAATAGAGAGAGTGATTAGAAGAGGGTGGAGAGATATTTTATACAGGTGGTCAAGGCCATTTGAGCAGAGACCTGAGCAAGTGTGAACCTCTGGGGGAATAGAGTTCCAAGTTGATTGATTGTGTAACAATTACAAATCTCTGCCAAATAAATCATTTTAAAAAATACATTCATAAATGTATGACAACAGAGTTGCAGGGAAAGCATAATAGACCGGGTGTGGTGGCTCATGCCTGTAGTCCCAGCACTTTGGGATGCCAAGGCGGGTGGATCACGAGGTCAGGAGTTTGAGACCAGCCTGGCCAACATGGTGAAACTCCATCTCTACTAAAAATACAAAAATTAGCCAGGTGTGGTGGCTGGTGCCTGTAATCCCAGCTACTCGGGAGGCTGAGGCAGGAGAATTGCTTGAACCCAGGAGGGTAAGGTTGAAGTGAGCCGAGATCGCGCCATTGCACTCCAGCCTGGGTAACAAAGCAAGACTCCATCTCGGAAAAAAAAAAAAACCAAAAACGAAAAAAGTATAATAGATTACCTTTATATATAAGTAGTTTGTAGGAATTTATAAGGGATCCAATTAACAAACGATTTAAGAACATAAATAGAAAATTTACTCCAGAAGACAACTACTTGAGAAGGAATCAACCTCACTAATAATTAAAGAAATACTAGTTAAGCAATTACCAGTTAGCTTTTCATTAGGTGTCAACAACACTCTTGCTGTCACTATAAATGATTGTCAATTCAATTCACACCCCAAATGTTTGTACTCCTTTACTTATGGTAACATGTCAAAGAAATAATTCAAAGGGGAAAATAACTTATCTGAACATAGCATTTCATATTGAAAACCTGTAAGTAATCCAAATGCTCACTAGTGA